CTCTTTAGCGCTTCAGTTCTGAGTGTGTTATCATATGGCAATGACCTTTTACGGGTATGTTTTGTATTAATATACAGTATATACATGTATATACACATATACTTAAACACATACAGACATTACACGAACATACACACACTCACATATATACGCACACACATCGTACATATAGGCATACGTGTACATATATCCCATACACCCATTGCAATCGTATTTGTCGTCCTAGGTCTTTGGAAACTCTTTTCAGTAACTCTTTTCAGTAACCCATGTTTGACGTAAGAGGCGACTAGCGGGATCGGGTGGTCAGGCTGTTGACTTGGTTGACACATGTCATCGTGTCCCTGATCGATGCTCATGTTGTTGATCACTGGATTGTCTGGTCCAGAGTCTATTATTTACAGACAGCCGCCACATACACAGCTAACACACAGCGTGTTCAGAACGTAGTGGGAATGTTGTAGGTTGGTAACGTCATGACACAACGTTGTCACAACGTTATTTATAACGTTATTTAACAACGCTACAGCATATACATGTACACAATGTATGCGTTGTCGAAACGTTGTGTATCGACTATTACACAATGTTTCATCTTTTCTGAAACGCTGATGCGACGTGAACTGTCTGGTTCAGGAAAATTGTAAGAAAAAGAGTGACAACGAATTATTCGTAATTTCTGCAGAAAACGTAGATTGTTATAATTCATGATAAATACACACATTTCAAAAACATGTCGACGAAGGAGGGTAAAGCCAACTAGAATATCACAGTATCTATTTCCATGTTTGTTACAAGTTTTATAACAAGTGCTAAAAGTATTGCATAGTTACCCCGCAGTCTCCACGATTCGCCAAATTATTGGTGATGCGTTTTTTTAAGAAGTTCAGTATATATAATAACACTTGTAAACTGTTGATTCTTATTGTATGAACTTTTTCACATAATAAACATAATATACAGTTTGATCATAGCACGTTCCTGCTACAGCAATAAATGACAACAACATGCAAATAACATAATATCTGATTGTTCCGCTGAGATAGCACACGTGACATCTATGTTCACAGTATTCACAGTTCCTTAAAGAAATCCATTAGTTAGACAACATTGAACAACCAGCGTCTTAACGGCTATGTTGTTATTACAATATATATATATATATATATATTTGTGGAATGTCTATGACTTCACAAATATGTACGTAGTCACAATTTTCTACTGATCACACAGTTGACTGCGTTAGGTAATCTAGTTCCCAGTACGTGTTTATGTTGGGGCACGTATTGTTGTCAACAAATCTTAGCTTACGTGTTGTAGACAGAGGGGTTGAGCAGAAAATCCGATATTTTGTTTTTATGACGTCATCACACAAGTGTGTGACTTTTTTGTGACCTAATGGATTTTGACGGTGAGTTTTGAACCCTTAAGCCCCACCCCCTTTTGGATGAGTCCCCTTACTTCCTAGGTGTGTGACCTTTAGGTTGACCTTAGTGGTCTGTGATTATTATTCAATTATTTTATGAATAAGAGTGGTATGAATTTGATTTGCCGACTCGAGTGTTGGGTTCACAGTGCAGACGTCATATCTTTTTTGTATATCAACGAAGAATTATATTACAATATGAATATTAGGTGAATTTACATGTTAAAGATGCTGTTTATTAGGTCAAAAGCCAGTCTTGTTCGATGTGAAATATCAGAGTGCATTTTGTTAAATCAAACCTTTGCAGAGCGAGGTATCCCTAGGCAGTTTAAAATAGATTATGCTGTTGTCAGATTTCATTCTTAAGCCCTGGCGATTTGGTACAAGGAACAACTCAGAAGTTCTGAGTATTTAGTTTTCATATCTGTGAACAATAAACGATTTTAGCTGTTAGCAAATAAAATTCATGCGCCATGTGGGCACGTATATGATTACTGCATGCGTGAATGGAGGGCACAGTCTATACAGGTTCCACAATACTAAAGCAGAAATTGCTTGCTCGCTGAGCCGGACCGTAACTGAAGAGACAGAGAGATATGTGTCAGCTGTGATTGGATGTAATAGTGTAAAATGTTTATGGTTTTTAAAAACACATTCATCCAGTCATTAAAACTGAGTTTGAAGTATTTAATGCTGTCATTGTTATTACCATGACTTATGTTACAAAAGTAATTTTGGGTTCCTGAGAAGACATGTTCTGTGTCTTTTCTTTTTTCCCAAATCTTTTGGCCATTCAGGATCTTAGAGTTCCAGCGTTCTGTCTACTGACATCGTCCCCTGTCTTTCCTTGCATGACAAAATCATACGGTTTCATTTTACCCTAGACTTGCAACATATAATAACGGGTCAAGTCCTGTGCCTGGGACATACAGTTTATATTGTTGACTCATGATGATGTTTTCATGTTTGACGTCTACCCTCATGAATGTTCACAAGGTATACTTCTTTCCCCCTTTTATACCCTTAAACCCAAAACGGGAGCGGTTTCAGGTGAAGGGTGATTGTCATTGGTCCACCGAGCAATGAAGTTTTCCTTTGTGTCCTTTTTATACAGATATCCACTATCATAACTGACACTCAGCTTTCACGGCTTGGTATAGCTTCTTGGGTCCAACAGAACTCCTAGGATCGTCATACATGCTCTCTCTCCACAGGGGGTGAACGTATCCTTGTAACACTGTTAGATAGTTATTTCTATCATTTTCCGTCTTTCATATCGAGTCACTGGTAATCTTTAATAACCTATTGAGAATACCATTGACAGCAAGAATCTGTTCCCTGTTCATTTTTAAGACGTCTTGTCGAATCCCCTCAACGTCCAAAATCATTAACATGAACCTTAAAAACTCGTAGTGTTTCAACACGTACCTAGCCATAATTCTAGAAAGCAAACTTTTACTCATATTGTGGTTTGCATTTCAATGAGATTAGTATCTGAATAAACCTGTATTTATACATCGACAAGAGACTATACATAGGCAACCAATACAGATATACTCTTACCATTGATTTATTACCAATAACAGTTTCACAAATATACAATATTTTACATCACACTCTTAGTTACACATGTAAATCCACATGACTACCCCAGCGGGTCACGTCTATCTGAGGTATTCCCACCAGGGCCAATCTGGAGACTATTTTTCATGTTCATCCCAGGGATCATCATCTACTTCCAAGTTCTTGAGAACGAGACCACACTGGAAACACCTATGTCCACTCTGATTAAGTACGCAAATCCTGCCTGGGCCATTTGACTTGGACTCTGTTTCATCTGCACTGGCCAAGACTGAAAGAAATTGAAGTCCATTCAGTCTTGATTGCACAGCAATCGGCAACGACAGTCTTGTCGAGTTGGTAATGTCCACACACATCCATGATATCCCAGAGGTGAGAGCAGTGGTAACACGTCCGCACGTACAGTACAGTGTCTAAACCAAGAATGGCCTTACACCCAGTGACTGTAGTCACTAGGATTACAGAAGGAACACATGAGGTACCCCATCTGATTATGATGATCGTTCTGAAGCATTCAAGGTACCATCTCTTTCAGCTCAGGAACAAAGTCGGGTATTACCTGCACACAGTCTCTCAGTTTCTTCCACTGGTCAAGGGACAACAAGATACTCTTTGCAGTAGATACGGCTTTTCCCATCTGTAGATTCGTTTCCCACTGTCTGAGATTCACACCATTGCAATCTAATGTAGCATAGATGTTCCCTCCAATATGTGCATAAGAACCTGAGTGACCAGACTTCATAGCCTCCTTCAGCTGATTGAACACACGGGAAAGTTCCAACCAGTGCTTTAGAGTTATCATAATGCCTCGTTTGTCAGGATAAGACTTGCCACTCGAGTACACATTATACTCCCTGTGAATGTGAATGTTTACTGCATCTTTCCATGTCTTTGCTGTCACAAACACATTTTCACCGAGATCAAGATGACAGCGAGAATCCTGTAACTCTGTCTTATCATCACCATCCCTCCGTCCCAGGAGTCCGGCTGCTTCTTGTTCTCCACTGAGTAGGAGCGCTTGTACACATTGTTTAAAAGCGTGGGGTCCACATTTTGGTAAGGTCAACAGTAAGGCTCATTTGCGGTCAATTTTAGCGTCTTGATTTTCCTACAAAGAATACAGTGCATGGAAAATACACATAATACGTGTATCTAGTTACTGATTTATATATGTGAAGAAAAGGAGGTACCATGATGTAAGCTCTACTGTACTGGTTCAGGATACCCCATTGTTCCAGTAAGTTGGCCACAACTTTCACAGTAGTTAAGTTGATTTTTATACCCAAAATGAGGTCACATAACAAAGGTCATGTGAAGCCCTACGGAAGGGAACTCATCCAAAAGGGGGAAGGGGCTCAAGGGTTCAAAACTCACTGTCAAAATCGATTAGGTCACAAAAAGGTCACACACGTGTGTGATGACGTCATACAAACTGCCAGTGGTACGCTATAACAACATGATAGAACTGGAAAGAACTACAAAATGGCTGAACTACAGAAAGACAACACCATCACCATAACTGAAGCTGACAAAGGGAAAGCAGCCGTCATCCATGAAGCCTCCTCGTGTTTGTATTATGTATCCTATCACATCTATTACCATGTTGTTTTAATGTACCACTGGCCTCCTCGTGTTTGATATTGAAAACAAGAAGGCGTTATTAGAAAAAAGATACACATTTATGTAAAAATAATGAAACACTCTATATTTGAAGGTCAGCTGCCTCAGATAACCTCCAGATGGGAAGTTCATGATGGGAACATGAAGCTCATCTCTTATGACCGTAATTCCATGCTCATGCAGGCTTGTTTGGACGAAAAGGTATTGATAGTGAAACAACTCTTGTCAAGCAGTTCCGTTGACATTAATACCAGAGAAAAAGCTTGAAGGACGCCTGTGTTAATTGCTGCTTTCAAGGGAAATATGGAATTATTAGCCCTTTTGGTCAAGGAGGAATGTGACCTCTCCGTTGAATTAGATAACGGTAAGACATGTGGCATGTTTGAGCGACAATGTAGATATTGCTGAGTATCTTCTCTCTCATGGGATAACTAACATAAATAGCAAAGACAAGACGGGGAGAACACCTGTAGTATGTGCAGCAGAGCAGGGCAATAAGAAAGTTGTTGATCTGCTGGTGAGCAAAGGATGCAACTTGTCGGTTGTGGATGATCGAGGTAGAAACATGTTGCATGTTTGAGTGACAATGTAGACCTTGTTAAGTATCTTATCTCGCGTGGGATACCTGACATTGAGAGCAGAGGTGAGGATGGAGGTACACCGGTGATGTATGCAGCACAAGAGGGCAATAAACGAGTTATTGATCTGCTGGTGAGCAAAGGATGCAAGTTGTCGGATGTGGATGATCTAGGTAGAAACATTCTACATGTTGCATGTTTGAGTGACAATGTAGACCTTGTTGAGGATCTATTCTTACGTGGGATAGCTGACATTGAGAGCAGAGACAGGGTGGGGAGAACACTAGTGATGTATGCAGCAAAAAAGGGCAATAAGAAAGTTGTTGATCTGCTGGTGAGCGAAGGATGCAACTTGTCGGATGTGGATGATCGAGGTAGAAACATTCTACATGTTGCATGTTTGAGTGACAATGTAGACCTTGTTAAGTATCTTATCTCGCGTGGGATACCTGACATTGAGAGCAAAGGTCAGGATGGACGTACACCGATGATGTATGTAACAGAGAAGGGCAATCAGAAAGTTTTTGATCTGCTGGTTAGCAAAGGATGCAAGTTGTCGGTAGTGGATGATCTAGGTAGAAACATTCTACATGTTGCATGTTTGAGTGACAATGTAGACCTTGTTGAGGATCTATTCTTACGTGGGATAGCTGACATTGAGAGCAGAGGTGAGGATGGAGGTACACCGGTGATGTATGCAGCACAAGAGGGCAGTAAACGAGTTATTGATCTGCTGGTGAGCAAAGGATGCAAGTTGTCGGTTGTGGATGATCTAGGTAGAAACATTCTACATGTTGCATGTTTGAGTGAAAATGTAGACATTGTTAAGGATCTTCTCTCGCGTGGGGTTGCTGACATTGAGAGCAGAGGTCAGGATAGACGTACACCGATGATGTATGTAGCAGAAAAGGGCAGTAAGAAAGTTTTTGATCTGCTGGTGAGCAAAGGATACCGGATATAGAGAGCAGGAGTGAGGATAGAAGTACACCGGTGATGTGTGCAGCAGAGAAGGGCAGTAACAAAGTTGTTGATCTACTGGATACCAAAGATGCAACTTTTCGGTAGTGGATGATCTAGGTAGAAACAGTTTACATGAAGTATGTTTGAGTGGCAGTGTAGACATTGTTGAGGATCTTCTCTCACGTGGAATAGCTGACATAGAGAACACCAGTGATGTATGGAGCACAGACGACTAAGAGGATGGTTTGGATTTCCTACTGAGTAAGGGATATCATCAGCCATCGGATTACTCCTAGAGAAGGTTCAGAGGTACATAGACAACAGTCACTTAAGGTATTCGATACTTGAAGTTACATCTACAGTACAACCAGAAATTATTGAGAATTTAAAGATTGTAAAAAAACATTTTTCACTCATTACTCACGTATTAAATGTGAATAGTAGCAGAACATAACTCCAGATTCAAAGACAGGTGAACAGTTAGTATTTTGTCAAGTCACAATGGGCAGCAATGCAGGCTTCAATGCGGTGGGGCATACTACTGATCAAAGAGTATGGTCGTGGTCCATGCTGTCCCAATATCGGACCACCTCCCTCTTTCATTTCAGCAATATTTGTCAGATTTTTCTTATTGACACTTTCCTTCATAAGTCCGTAAACATTTTCTATTAGATTTATGTCAGGGCTATAGCTTGGCCAATCTAACAATGTCATATTTTGGGTCCGAAACCAGGCCTGTGAATGCTTTGAACGATGTTTTGGGTCGTTGTCCTGCTGGCAAATCCAACAATTTCTATAGAACACGTGAGCAGATGGAAGTTAATGTCTGTGTACCGATCACTGTTCATATTCCCTACAAATACACAGAGGGGCGTTGCCGCTAACACAGATATGCCTACCCACACGTTAAATTTCGGACTGTACTTTGGGCGCTGATACAAAGGTTTTTTCAGTTTGTTTGGTCCAGAATTTCAGTGTATTAGGAAAGAGCCACACAGAACTTTCATCTGAGAAAATCACATTGTCCCAGTTAAATTGTCTATGCTGTAAGCACCAGTACAACCATCGCTCCTTTTGTTCAGGTTTCATAATCGGTGATGGAATTCCTCGACTTTTCTGCCAACCCATTGCATGCAGCTCAGTTCTAATTGTCTGCTTACAGACAGCCACATTTCCTCTATCAATCATATCCAGCCTTAAGTTTTCTAAACTCCTTCCTTTCTGTTTAGAAAGAAGAATACCAAGCCGCCTCCTGTCACCGACAGTCAATTTTCTGGGCCTACCTACGCCATGCCATATCCATTTGCAATATAAACAGTGGACAAAAGGATGCCTGTTCTACTTGAAATCACTTTAGCTGATCTGATGTCCTTGTTATAATACTCTAAAATCAACTTCCTTTTCTCTAAATCATCCATACTGAGGATCACTGAAAATGTTGTCTGCTAGCAAGTAAACAAAGGGGGATAACTCTCCACAAACTAATGAAAAGGGATTAACGGAGTTGTCTCTCTTGAATGAAACCAAGCACTTGATAGCTGGTCAAGGTTGTTTATACTAGAAATCCAATTAAACATATTCCTAAAATTCTCAATAATTTCTGGTCATACTATACTTGCTCAACAACGGGCTCCTTTAAATAAATGGGGGTGGCGGGGTAGCCTAAAGGTTAAAGCGTTCGTTCGTCACGCTGAAGAGCCGGGTTCGATTCCCAACATGGGTACAATGTATGAGCCCCATTTCTGGGGTCCCCCGTCGTGATATTGTTGGAATATTGTTAAAAGCGACGTAAAACAGACACTCACTCAGTAGATATCTGTAACATGTTGACAGCCATCATCAATGACTTTATAAACACTTTAATACGAATCAGGAAAACTGACATAAGTGTTGTCAACCAAAATGGAAAAAGAAATGTATATTCAGCGGCAAATACCCTCTGAACACTGGACTGACTTAACTAAGCTGTATTCTGTATGTAAACGTGAGGAGAAGATGGTATCGATACGGATGCCTGTGTGAGTATATGTCGTCATATTGTATGCCTGGCTGTGTGCAGCATTTTATACTGGCACGGACTGGAAACATTCGTGAAGCCATAGCTGGAGATTGATTGGTGGGGCAATGATAAGCGATGTCTGTGCTGTACTAGTGCACGCCAAAATACTGGCGGTGGCAGTGGAGTTTCTGTTTGTGCTCTGTTTACTGTGTTCACCCACTGCTATGGCAGCTTATATAATTTATAGGATCCATGGCAGTATATTGATCTCTATGTATATGTGTTTGTGCAGGGGCTTGAATGAATGAAGCTTTCATCCACTTTCATAAGATATCTATGCTAAAAACAGAGTCAATTGTACAAATGTGACTATATCATGAGCAAATATTTGTTTCAGCAGCATTACAGCTGTATGGTGTTGTTTTAAAGAAATCGAGTGTGGACCAGACAAGTCAGTGATTTTCAACATGTGATACAATGACAGAGCATGTGTTTATGAATCACTATGACATTGTGATGATACCGGGTGTTCGCGAAAAGGTGAGCGTATCCTGCCCCATCAGTGGCACCCGTTATAAACTTATGCTAAGTCTAGTCAGTTTTTCACCTGAAATAATTCGGGAACGCATCGTATTAGTCAAAAATAGAAAATTGCATCGGACATAATTATTGCTAATGATGCATCAAATTTGGAAATTTCCTCCACATGTCTACCATAAAACTGAGGCCTTGAATGTTGTATCCTTGATCAAACCACTTCTGAGCAGAAGTGGTACAGTGTATGGCACTCTTTGAAATCCTCATAAAAAGAACACGCTGGGTTGTACCTCAAAAGTTGTGAAATGTAAACAGCAAAGGCTGGAGAGGCGAATAACGAAATCGTGTGGTCAGACTCGCTGACTTAGGTAATGCTAGTCAGTGCTCATGATGTCAATCACAGGGTTGACTGGTCTAGATAATTAACAGATCGCCACTAGGGCACTGTGAAAACAATTCATCGTGTCATTTAAATTTTTACCGTGTCATTGCATTTTTTCCATCATCTTTGATACTCTATGTGGCAAGGCCAAATTTTTATCACGGCTGTGATTGTTTTGTTGTTTAACAATGATTATTCTATGACAGTGATTGTAGAATGTTCTTTCAAGTGTTTTCTTATCTAAATCAGTTACAAGGGTACTACCATTGTGTACATACGGGGTTTAACATTGACATTGAGAAATAGAAATGGCACCTTGTATTAATCCTAAGTGTGCGAGTCATGAAAATATTTTGTCTAGAAAATGCTAATTCAGAATCAAACAAGGACTGTCAAAGCCTATGTTGTGATACTGTAATTATTTGTAAGTAATATGATGCATTACATCGTTATTATATTTACTGGACAAGATAAACTTACTTGAAATAAATATTGCATCAGCTGTGACTCGCATGAAATTAGTTTGGGTCCAAAACTGTTGAATCAAATACGCAGAAAACACGTGTCATGTAAAACCTCACCGTAATATATTTGTCATGCCATTACATGTACATAGTATATGTAAAATAATATGCTGACATAACAATGTACCATGCAACATAACTACATGAGATAAAGGTTACTTTAAATTATCCACCCTCTTGTGTGATTATTCTCCATTAAACTCCACTCAGCACAGAAAATGTTGTTCTATACACTTCAAGATCTTCCTCATCCTACTACTCTTCCAACAATATACTTTATAAAGAGCAGACTTTAGCGAAGAAGGGATGTTGGGGACGCCTGGATCAATTTCATGTACACCAAATCATTTTGGAAGAGGCCAAAACATACAACCGTTACTTCTCCTTGTGCTGGATTGACCAGAGACCATAAACCGATATATGGTCTCTGGCTTGACCGTATAAAGCGTACGACTCGCTCATGAATGGATTCGGTAGAATCCATGTTGTATTTAACTGGCTAAATGACTGCTTCATTTACGCAAGTCTTTTATCAGTTGCTGGTCGTCTCAACGTGAAGGACAGAAGCAGGATGGAAGTACTCAAGGGGGATAAACTCAGTCCTTTGGTTTTGTCTACAAATTCATGGTGTTTTCTGCCCAATATATACATTATGCACCACTGCACATCATGCAAGTGCTGTCCTTCCTTTATAACTCACCCTCAAGAAAATGAACTCGATCAATAAGAAACAGACAGGTATAAACCTTTGTGGCATGTGTTGGTTAATATCATAGTAATTACAATCATGTAACAATACGTCAACAAATATCGAGGTAATAATGGTTCACTGTATCATCATTTTGATCCCATACCGTAAACATTTCATGTAGCTATAATGCACGGCCAACTGCATAAGAAAAATTGCATAACAGACTTGACACTTGTGGAAAGCTGGGTCTTACATGGTAAGTCTCTTGACCCTGGTTTCGTTCTCTGTGGATGCGGGCTTCTCGGGGTCTTCCCACTTGTCCCGCACCTATTGTTTAAAGGTTCTAGATCAGTGGAGCGCGATAATCCCTGAGAACAAAAGGTGAACTTCTTATTTTGCTCCCCTGTCGGTCTGTGATATTTGGTCTCCTCCAATAACTTTAACCCAGGGATCCTGAACCCAATTCAGTGGCAGCAATGACAAGGCGGCTGCTCTTCAGACGAGCGACTGGACTGCTGGAATGTTCATGTAGTCTCGTGACAGAACCTTTCCGCTAATGATTTTGGTACAGATAACCAGATGATACAGACACACTTTATGGATAACAACTTCTTTATTACGAGTGTGCGACGTTTCGATACAAATTCTGGTATCGTTGTCAAGCAGGAATGTTACCATGAAGAACAAGTGTAACAAAGAAAACAACAGAACAAGATAAATAAAATAATTAGCTAGCAACTTTGCTGATATAGCTAATCCGGTGACAAAGGGGGAAAGGCATAGAAGCATGAAATGTACAAATGAAAGGGGGTGACTTAAAAAGGAGGAGATATTTTTGTCAGCATATTTGGCTTGGTGAAGGAGTGCATCATCAGCGGTTTGAATGATATATCCTTGAACTCAATTGATGCTGGGCCTTTGGCGTCTGATGTGAATGGCTTCGGTGAGTTTGCGTTTGGTGAAGTCCTATTGATTTCCAAACGTAGGGCACAGAGATCGTGATGTAGGCTTAATCTGGTTTGGGTCTTTTGGTGGGAGGTGACAGGGTGGCAGCAATGGTTCTGTTGACTATTTGGGCAGGAGAGTTGTTTAATTCTACAACGGCTCTCTTCAAGTGTTGATTATCCTGCATACTTGGAGTTGTACTGCATGTACTGATCCGAATGGCTAGGTTTCCTGTACACAGTGGTCTGGAGATGGTTGGAGGATGTGAGGGATACAAGGACGTCAAGGAAAGGTAATTTCTTGTTCTGCTCTGACTCCATCGTACATTTGATGCAGGGGTGTTGGTTGTTTAGATGGATGAGAAGCTGGGTGGGATCATGATCAGGTTGGAGGATGACGAAAGTATCATACACTTTCCGGTACCAGCAGGTTGGTTTGACGGTTGCAGTTTGTAGTGCTTTCTCTTCTAGTTCTGTGATGTAAATTTCGGTTAGAATAGGGGATAGGGATGAGCCCATTGGGAGTCTGTGAATCTGTTCATAGAACTCATCACCCCAGGGTAAGTAGGTGGAGTTCATACAGGCGGCGGTGAGGCTGATTTTTAATTTGGAACAGTGAACAGGTCGACTATATCGTAGCTGACGATGGGGCCTGGATTAGTTATATCGCGGATTTGGCTGCAGAAGGCCCGACCTCTTCACTGATGTACCGAGAGAAGAAGCCCTGTTAGCACTACGCCACCGAATCGACAATCTTGAACGACCCCTAAACACCAGCCCCTCAAACGACTCCATCATCAGCCTCACCTCTGCCTGCATCAACTCCACCTACTTCACCTGGGGGGATGGGCTCTATGCAGTCATCGTTGACGGTCTTGACGGGTCAAGGCCATTCCACGAAAGGGGCGGTAGGCTCGTTTACAAGCCATATGAAGTCGTCGAAGGACTGTGGCGCCGTTACGACTCTGTTCCGGAGGTAGATCTGCGTGGCTCTTGGTCTTCCCGATCTTCAGCGGCCGTAGGTGTGACCAGTTTACTGGCACCAGTTTACCAATTTACAGATGGTGACCTAGCTGCAGATGACGTTGTGAAGCCCCATATAGGCCATACCGATCGCTCTGTCTAGCTGCGCTTGCGTAAGTCCTGGCATATCCGTGATGTTTTTTGGGGTGTTACTGCATGTTTGTTCTGTCCAACATGGATATTCATGTCCCAACCATGCACGTGCATTTGGACAGCATTTCGGAGTTTTCTGACAGCTGCGTTGTTATCGGACCATGTTGCGTTTTAGCGAATGTTTACTTCATGGGTTCAAACCCGTTTTCATCTTTTATACAATTACCTAAAATGTGATAACTTTCTTTTATATATAAACGGTAGAATAAACTAGCAAATGAGCTTTAACCTCAAAAAGGGTTTAAGTACACACTGCACACAGGGAATTATTGTTCTCATAAGAGGGTACCTAAGTCCTAGAACATGCAAAGTATATTTTGGTAGGCCAAGCTTATAATTGCAGTATGCTTGTTATTTTAAGTGGTGGCTAAATCTACAAGTAAGTCCTCGTGGTCCTCAGGTTGGTGATCTGTCTTCTGAATTTAGTTTCATGCTTGTTTTAATCCCTAACTGTGATATACTATACTTCTCATCTAAAGGTTAGACTCACTAGTGTTAATATAGCCACTTGCTTCAGGCAGCTGTTTTAAACTAGATTTTGCAAAATATTCCATATTGTTTAAAGTTACTGTTTACACATCAACTGATGTATTGTAAACCAAATTCGTAACGTTGAAAAGATAATTGATGAGTTCAATTAATGACAAAAATCAGTGAAAATTGACGAATTCTTAACAAAACCTTACACCAAAACGCAGCTGTTCACATGCAGGATACTTGCACATGCTTTTCAATAATTTGATGCATGATCCTCGTGAAATTCATCTGCATAAGGTTTGCAGTTGGTTCCCCTAAGTTAGTGGAGAACTCAATCTTTGATGTAACCATTTATATATTTTATATACATAACATATAGTGAGTTTTTCAAGTGAGTCTAAACTTTTGATGGGAAGTATACTTGTTATTCTGTCCTCTGTCTACAGATTGTATTATGCATCGTCATCGATTATCAGTGTGGGACCTGGTTTAGGCAAGTCGTCACACAGCTGTAGTACTGCTGAAGGCGACGGATAACAACAAACTATAATGATGAAACGTTACCGTAATTAAAACAAAGAAAACCACTACAAAGTCACGTGAAGGTATTCGGGCCAATGATACAAATAAACCTGCCGCGGTTATCTCCCTTCAAACAACCTTCATCGTCAACATTTGATTAGCTAGAAGAATGTTACTGCCTCTTCTTTAGGTATATTCGCTTTACACGTCTCTATGGTTAGATGGAAACGATTTATGAACATCTGAGCTGAGTGTCAGTGTGTGATGAGGAAGTAGTGTGTTGTCGAGACACACAGTAGACTGATAAGTTGTGTCCCTAAGACTGAAGTAATTACGAAATAGTGAAATCTTTTATTGATGACATTACATGCTACCGAGAAATATCCACAACAATGGGAGGCAGTGGATCACCTTGGTGCTGCTGACAAATAAGTAATGAACTTGAACTTGTACATGACGCCTCTAAGAGGTGGCCAACAGCTTACCATTTGCCAATGGGAGCCGAATCAGGAGAGGCCTCCGGTGTCAACAGAAACGATGAAGAGAATCCTTGATATTGTGCAAATATCTCAGCGCCACATCGCTGGTTATTATTTCGCAACGTTGAAAGTTTCAAGTCGTTGTGTCCATAGCCTTGTTACATCAATGAGAAAAGAAAAACGCATCCGGGAAAATGTAGCTTTGTTTGAAAGTGATTCAGAAAAGGTCGTCAGATTTACTGTCTTTTGCAACGTGCAGGACCCATAGCTTGATTTATACGCCCCCGTCAGTCGTTGGCTATATAGTTGGCATAAACGAGGAATACTTTATGCTTAAAAACTGGTAAGCAAAGTACCCTTGGAACTACGTACATGGACATACAATAACCTCACAGCCTACATGGGACAATGGTGTTACAGTAATTTACAATACTTCATATACAGTTATGCAAAAAATCTTGAATTATATGTAGAAAATGTCACTCAAAATTGCAGTAGCTCAATGTCTTTTTTAAAAACCAAAAATTAAATGAATACTTGTATCAGAAAGATTCTTCTTGGATGAAACGGTGAAATATTTATCCCCTGTGATGGAAAAATCGACACCGTCAAGCTGGAATTGCTTGACCGTGATGTTTTCATCACAAGGGATACAAAACAGAGGATTCTCACTTTTCGATAAGTAATCGCGTGTATATCTGGAATATCCAATGGAGATAACTAATGTTAGAACAAAAATGAACAATGATATAATACTCACCAAATCGACAAGGCATATTCAAGGCAAACTGAAGGCTCGATACATCTGACATCTGGAGGGTATCTACACTCGAAATTCCCTCCCCTGTAATTCTGAGATCAGATAAGACGTGCAAAACGTCATTGATACGTGTATATTATTGCTGGGACCGGCCAAGATATATTCAGTATGTCGTCTCTAGTTCTCTAAATCAGATCTGAGCTGTCAAATCCCAACATAACAGTAAAACACCAGAAATCAATGAAATGTACGAGCTCTGCCTCGTTCACATGTAATATAAACAGCGTTGTTAATAGATGTAATAGGTGAGGTGAGGTGGGCTGGTCTTGGCTGTGGTGAGGTGAGGTGAGGTGAGGTGGGGTGGGGTGAGGTGAGGTTGGTCAGTCCTGTGTTCACCCCCTTAATGTCAAGCTCTAGGCACGGTAACAACAAGTGTCATCTTTTAACGTCCTTTTGTGTGAGTGAGTGAGTGCGTGAGTTGAGCTTTACGCCGCACTCAGCAATATTCCAGCTTTATGGCGGCGGTCTGTAAAGAATCGAGTCTGGACCAGACAATCCAGTGATCAACAGCATGAGCATCGATCTGCGCAATAGGGAACCGATGACATGTGTCAACCAAGTCAGCGAGCCTGACCACCCGATCCCGTTAGTCGCCTTTTACGACAAGCATAGTCGCCTCTTGTGGCAAGCATGGGCTGCTGAAGACCTATTCTATCCCGGATCTTCACGAGTCCCTTTTGTATGACGTGACCGGGATCAAACAACATCCCTTCACCTCTCCGGGAAAAAAGCTCCACATGACCAGGAATAGTGAGTGAGTGCGTTTATTTCTACGCCGCAATATTCCAGTTACATGGCGGCGCCCTGTAAATAATCGAGTCTGGACCATACAATGCAGTGATCAACAGCATGAGCATCGATCCAAGTCAACGAGCCTGATAACCCTATCCCTTTAGTCGCCTGTTACGACAAGCATGGGTTATTGAAGATGAATTCTAACACGGCTCTTCAGGGGTTGACTGACTGACTGACTGAGTTTAGTTTTACGCTGCTTTTAGCAATATTCCAGCAACATCACGGCGGGGGACACCTGAAATGGGCTTCACACATTGTACCCAAGTGGGGATTCGAACCCGAGTCTTCGGCGTGACGAGCCAACGCTTTAACCACTATAGTCTGTTTGCAGTGAAAACATACCGATGAATTTCACTTTAAACAAAAACGTAAATCAAATAAAGTGAAAGTAGAAGTACGAATCCTCAAGATTTTACCTTGCCAATTGAACATTTAAATCTCAGAATTTTATTAAACATATAAATTTCAGAATTTTATTCAACTTAGGATAAAAGTTGTTTAACAGACGATCATAGATTCAAATCGCTATTATTGGTTTGTATTACAAGGGAGTAGGCACCCATGAAGGGCCACCTCCTCGTGGTGGGTGCTGGGTAATGCTAAGCGCCCTTCAACTCCCCGTTGTGGACCCGGGGGGATATTTGGTCCACGAACCCACTTGCCGTGGGTTGCGCCCCTGTGTCGGTGGAGGACGGGATTCTGGTGGTTGAGGGCACTGGGTCCAGGAACAGTGTCCCTTTGCCCAACACACCACTTCGGCCCTTACTTCACCTAGACGGGTGGTAGAACTGGCCCGGTTCTACCAATCGGCTGGTCACGCCAAGCCATGTGTATAGACTATATATATATGTCATTGCACCAATTTGATTTTGAATTGTTTTAATTTCGGTCTTGGCCTACTTGTTTATCTAAAACGTTTGTAATTTTGAAATATACTGTTATGAACTTTGCCTAGAGTCTTATGCCCAGAAGGCGGTGGCTCATGGGCCAATCTGGTGGAATTATTAATCTTTTAATTCTTCTGCTGGAGTATATCATCCGGGTATCATTGGTGCTTCAAGTTGGAAATCCACTTGTTTTTAGCATTGTCCTTGTGATACTCCATGGTGGGTTGGGAGCTCGGATGATGAAATCTTACTAACTAACCATGGCTTACCTAACCCCCCCAAAAAAGACCAAGCGTCAACTTGACACTGATCCTGTTGAAACTGACCTCAGACTGCCCAACTCAATTGATTACTGGCCACGTTTTCTTGTGCTTGAAACTATTGACAAGTCACCTTTGAAGTTGAATCCTTTTGCCGTAGCTA